AGGCTAAAAGTCACTTTCAATACTATCAAGCTCTTTTTCCCCCATCTACAAAGTCTGAAAATGAATTTTAAAACCTGTGCAATTAGATGTCTAAATCAAATCCAAATTGTACTTTGGGCTTTTTACTTGAGTTTAGGTCCATCTTAGAAAGAAGTATACATGGCTGGAGACAATGGCAACACATAAGTTACCAAGTTCAGTATTAAATATTACTCATTCACTGCTCTGAATAAAGTTATAGAACTTTCAAAGGCTCAAAATTACCCAATGGCAAGATTAATCTCTACATAGTAACTGCAAGAAGAAAAATAACATTTTATATGCCCTTGATTGATGGCGATTGAACCAGACCAAATCCTGATGCCTTGTGGTCATATAAATTATGTGAAAAGAAATATCCTGGAGGGTTTCTCACAGTGACAGGAATTAAACGCATTTGTCTCTCTCACAGTGATGGTAAGGTAAGAAGTCCTGACTGCACACATTCACTTCCATTCTTTCCTGTCATAAACCTAGAATTTGGGGTCTATTTTTGGAAATGAAGATCCTATAGCCAAAAAAGATCTTTATTTTTAAAAGTAACCAATTTTGAAAGAAAATGTTTCTCTAAACTCTTATTAAATATGTGTAACATTTTTACCCTTTCTAACTTGAGAAAACACACTTTGACTATATACTCTTTAAAGATGAATTTTCTGCTTCTAAAACTTCCTTTTTTATTAGTCAGAAAGTACCTATTATTTCTTCCATTCTAAGATTTGGGGGAGAAGTTCAAGTTCACACTATCTAGGCATTTTGTGACTTTACACAGCTTAACTGTATATATAGTTCCTAAGATCCATCATATCATAGTCAAAAACTGTAATGTTTTAAATTAAGCTAAAAATTCTTCATCCCAGGACCACTTGTGATATAATAGAATGAACAGTGAGATCTTTGTCTGAATTCCCATCTCTGACACTTACTGGCTATGTGACTTTTTTCAAATTAGTACTCAAATCTCAGTTTCCTCTCTGGAAAAGGGGAATAATACCACCAAACTCCCTGAGACTGCTATGAAGATAATATATGTGAAAATTATAGAGCATTCAATAGATGCTAGTGCTTATAGCTGCATCTCAACTCCCTTCAACCCTCCTGAGATGTAAAACTGAATTTTACCCAGCTTTTCATAAGAAACCATAAGATACTATTCAGATACTACTCTTTTTGTATTAAAAACCTTTTTGTTTTGTTACCAGTAAGGTTTCAATCATAGGTATCACTTACTCTGCCTTCTTTTCATAAAATCAGACTTCTACACTATCTAGCCTGGGACTAGATATTTAAGTGATGCTTAAATGGAAGATTAAATAAGTGAACATAAGAACTGAATTGGCATATTCAAGCACTATGGAGGTGAACTGTGGTTACGATAAAGCCAGTGGGAGGCTATGATGAACACAGCACTGAAAAGCTGTCTGTGGAATCTAGTTAGGAGAGAAAATCTAGTCCGATCCCTAAATAACAACTGTTCTGCATAAGACTGAAAGAGTAATGTAGCCAGGGGATTTAGTGATTATGAAGAATAAATTTGTAGTTTCTGGAACGAAGGGGAGAGGAGATGGCAAGATTCTTATGCAATGTGCAACCTAAAGAAAGTCCCAGATTCATGATCTTACTAACAGAATAACATTATGAAATACTTGGGTCCAGGATATAGTTATGTACCTAAATACATGACTGTATACTGATACAACGTAATACTGACATGAAATGGTCGTAAGCTAACAAATTCAATGTATCTGGTCAAAAAATGAATATATGGGTCATAAAAAGTACGGAGACAAGAGGAAGAAGAAACTATGAGTCTAGAATTAACAGTGATTAATTAGTGATGAAACAAAGAAATTGGCTCCATCATGAAGTAGTCTTCTAGCTACTAAAGTTACCTATTAAGAACACAAAAATAAATAAATAAACAAATAAATTTCAGGATTGGGTGGAGAATTAACTGGCTAACCTCTAAGCTCTTCTGCAATTACGAGATTTCATATTTCTATTCAGTGTACATTCAGTCCTGTCTTACAATGGTATAGTTTAAGTTTCAATAACTAAAACAAAAACCCCAAGGCTACACTCTTGTGATCTAGTTCCAGCACAACTGAACATTTTCAAAATTAGAATGGTATTTTAAAAGAGAATTTAAAATGCTTAAGAGTTCAAAGTTGAAGGTATCACACTACCTTATATCAAACTATAATACAAGGCAATAGTAATCAAAACAGCATGGTACTGGCATAAAAACAGACATATAGATCAATGGAACAGAATAGAGCGCCCAGAAATAAACCCACATCTACATGGTCAATTAATATTAGACAAAGGAGGCAAGAAGATGCAATGGGGTAAAGACAGTCTAGTCAACCGGAAAGACACATGCAAAAAATAAAATACCACTTTCTTATACTATATACAAGAAATTGAAATAGATTAAAGACTTAAATGTAAGACTCAAAACCATAAAATTCCTAGAAGAAAACATAGGCAGTAAAATCTCTGACATTTCTCTTAGCAGTCTTCTTTCTGATACATCTTCTCAGGCAATGGAAACAAACAAAAAAATAAACAAACGAAACTATATCAAGCCCTGGCTGGGTAGCTCAGATGGTTAGAGCATCGTCCCAATATGCCAAGGTTGTGGGTTCGATTCTGGATCAGGACACACATAAGTATCAATGAATGAATGCATGAATAAGTAGAAAAATTAATTGATGTTTCTTTCTCTCCTTTCCTCTCTCTCTTTAAAATAAATAAAATCAATAAACAAATTTTAAAAGTTTTTGCACAGCAAAGGAAACCATCAACAAAACTAAAAGACAACCTACTGAAAGGAAGAAAATATTCACCAATGATACATCTGATAAGGGATTAATATCCAAAATTTATAAAGAACACAAACAGCTCAACACCAAAAATAGAAACAATACAATTAAAAAACAGGCAGAAGAATTGAATAGACACTTCTCCAAAGAGTAATATAGACTGGCCAATAGACATGAAAAGATGCCCAATGTCACTAATCTTCAGAGAAATGCAAATTAAAACCGCAATGAGATATCACCTCGCACTTGCCAGAATGGCTGCCATCAATAAATCAACAAACAACAAGTATTGGCAAGGGTGTGGAGAAAAAGGAACCCTCGTGCACCGTTGGTGGGAATGCAGATTAGTGCAGCCAGTGTGGAAAGTAGTATAGAGGGTTCTCAAAAAATTAAAAATAACACTGCATTATGACCCAGAGATTCCACTTCTGAGTATATATCTCAGAAACCCAAAACACTAATTCAGAAGAATATATATACCCCTATGTTCATTGAAGCATTATTTACAATAGCCAAAATATGGAAGCAACCTAAGTGCCCATCAATAGTTGAGTAGATAAAAAAGCTGTGGTACATATATACACCGGAATATTACTAAGCCATAAAAAAGAATGAAATATTATCACATTTGTGACAATATGGAAGGATCTAGATAGTATTACGTTAAGTGAAATAAGTCAGCCAGAAAAACAAATATCATATGATTTTACTTATATGTACTCTAAAGAACAAAATAAATGAACAAACAAAACAGAAACAGACTCACAATTACAGAGAACAGACTGACTATTGCCAGACTGGAGGGGGGTTGGGGAGCTGGGTGAAAGAGGTGAAGGGATTAAAAAGTACAAATTTGGCCCATCTGGGCGTGGCTTAGCAGCTGAGCATCGACCTAGGATCCAGGAGATCACGGTTCCATTCCCGGTCAGGGCACATGCCCAGGTTGTGGGCTAGATCCCCAGTCAGGGGAATGCAGGAGGCAGCCGATCAATGACTCTCTCATCACTGATGTTTCTCTCTCTCTCCCTCACTTCCTCTCTCTGAAATCAATAAAGATATATTTTTTAAAAAAACAGAAAACAAAACAAAAAAGTACAAATTGGTGATTAGAAAATAATCATGGGGATATAAAATACAGCATAAGAAATATAGACAATAATATTGAAATCACTATGTATGGTGCCAGGTGGGTACTGGAAATATCAGGGAGAACACTTTGTAAAGTATATGGTTGTCTAACTACTCTGCTGTACACCTGAAACCAATACAAAATTATATGGAATGTCAACTATAATTGAAAAATAAAATTTTTAAAAATAAAATAAAACACTTAAGAGTTCAGTTCAAGTCCTACTCAGTACCTAACTAAATATCATAAATGTATGATGATCGTTCAGGACGCCATAAAGAATCTGATTCATTTACAGCTCTGGCTGTAGTCCCTGCACTTACTTCCCTGCAGCGAAATGACTGGAAATGAAGAAGTGGGTTGACAGTTGGAGACAGAAGGAATACCATCAGAACACAATACCCAGAGGCGAACAGAAGAAGCATGACCATGACACCAAGAGTTAGAGTTCCAGCTTCTACATAAAGATCTGGTAACAGAATTGGATAAAATAATATAAAATAATATCTGTACAACTTGGTAACTTCCACGTCTGATGGATTTCGTTGACGATTATGGGTGAATACGAATAACTGCTTACAGTAAATGCAGATACATTTGATGATGCACATGAATAAAAGTTTTAATATAAAGGAATGGGGTACACAGAGAGTTCAAGGCCAAACCTATAGAGCTAAACCTATAGCAAAAGGGCTAATGTGTAGAAATCAGCTGGTCTGACAGGTTCTTAAAGAACAGAAACTATTTATAAATGAAGAAAGGAAATATGGGATTCACAAATGACAGCCATTTTTTAAAAAGTATGAGATTCACCCCTTAACAAAAGGAAAAGTAAGTGGTAGGAATTACTGTATAGATTATCTTGGCAATATACTAAATTACTGAGAAATTAACCTGTTACTAATGTATGGCATTTAACTGAAGATCAGAATCTAATCCTGCCATGCTTTTATTTATTCCAATTAGATATTCATTCATCAGCTAAAACCCAAATAGTTCATTCCTACCTCTCTGAAGAGTGCACCATAAAACTGAACAATGTATGGGCAATCACTACTCCGCATTACTACATCCAAATCCATAAGAAGTTGTTTTTGTTCTTTTTCATCCACTGTTGACCGAATTCTCTGGAAAAGAATGACAAAAGACGTCATAAAAACATAAAACAACTTTAGAAACCTGAGAAAAACAACTGCCAAAAAAAGACTAAAAATTTCCAAGCAAACTTCATAAATACTAACCTGACATTAAAGAAATTATCATCTTTGTTATACCTTACAAGAAAAATTTTTACCACAGAAAAACAAAATAGCATGTAAGAATTTTTATTTTTAACAAAATAGTACTTAATAACTCTTTAAAGAACACAAGCTCTCTAACCACAGGCATTCACTGATGATGTTGGAATTTATGCAACAAAGTTCTTGGGCTGTGAAAATTAACCCATGTGCAAAAGAAAATCATAATGAACTATACTTTAAATCATAATGAACTATACTTTAAACAGTTTTCATGTGAATAATCAGAGATAGCTTCAAATACACTTTTAATCACCATTTCAGAACTGTATGAAATCTAGGCATTCCATGCAAGAACAGCCCTCTTCCCTCCTGGGGTCCTTACAGCACGGCATCCTCACTCAGCAGACAGAACGCAGTTCAGAACAGGTACAAGTGAGAACTATCGAGGGGGAGCACAAGGACTACACCCGTGCCTCCCAAAGCCCAGACTGGAGTTCCCCCCTTCGCCACACTTCCTACCTGAGTCTCCAAACCATGAGTCAGAATGCAGGACAGCACAAACATGTTGAAGAAAACCTAAAACTGAGTAAACAGAGGGCTCTTTGTCCATTCCTAAGCTGATGAGGCCCTGTTCTGTACACCTCACACCTAGGGTATATCCCTAACGCACCTACACAACAACTTCTGTGCGCAATCCTAAAATACTGCCACAGAAGATCAGCATCCCCACCTCCTGCCCAGGAGCAGTACAGGACATGCGATGGCCAGAGGGACAGCTCTCGCTGCACCACAAAGTGGGGAAGAAGTTCAGAAATTGTGAAACATTAATAATGAAGCTATGGTTTAACATCAAGGCATGCAAACAACTTTTGTTCTCATAAGAAATTCAAAATGTCACACCGTGCCACTGTATATAATACATAGCACATACTTACAAGGCAAGTTAGTATCAAAAAACACATAAGGTGGCATTTTGTCTTCCAAAGACTTCAAGGTCTCTGTCCTCAATGTTCTTGAAAGGAATGAAGGCCGTCAATTACATTCTTGAACCCATTTTTCAGAAGAGAAGCCAGAGGCACAGGGAGATACAAGAGATGTATTCCATGTGACATGACAATACGCAGTTATATAAGGAACAGGAGTAGGTTCAATCACTTTCATTTTCCTGCACTAAATAGGAATTCTATGCATTTCAAATGCAAACAAATTTAATTTTGCTGCTTAAAATGTATGGCCTACTAGCTACAGTACTTCATACCAAATAAAATTTACTAACTGGCATCCATCTATGTACGCTGACTTAAAACTTTGACATTAAATTTCACTGCACACATAAACAAGGAAAAAATATAAACAAAGTAAGACCAGTACTTTTAAAAATAAGACATTTCCCTTCTCTCTCCTATCTTTTCATAGCTTTGGGATAAATAATCTTGCTTTTAAATCAACATTGGCGTGTGTGCTCAAAAATATTGTTCAAAAGTCAAAACAGCCCAGAGGTGTAATGTGTATCTACTCCAAACATGACACTGATAATTTCTGTAAACATTTTAACTAACTACATTCATTCCTATTTTAAAACTATAACTTTAAAAAGTATAGCTGTGAAAAATACTAATTTGGGAAGGCAATTATTTTCAAAAAGACTTAATTATTCTATCTCTATAACTAAATTTAAAAGACAGAGACCTAGTGATTAGAGACAAAGAGGGAAGAAAAAGCAAAGGCTCTCTGGCTGGGTAAGATTTCCACCTACTAAAGACTTCTCACTATTAAAAGGCTTCAAAACATACTTTTTTCCCTATTTTTACTTGTATGTATATATTGGCAAGTGAAAATATACTAGCACTCACACTATAAAATACTATTTTAAAAGATGCTCTCTTTGCTAGTTTATTTTTTGTTTCCCTAAACTGGTTATATGGTTTTCTAAATTTAACATTTGCACAAATGCTTATATTTCAAATATCAGAAAGCATATTATGGTCAAAAGCTCAACAGTTATCATCAATACCTGACTCTTGGGGACCACTACTAAAAATACTGCTGTGGCTACAGAAAGAATACATGTTACTACATGAACTGGAGGCCTAACTGTAGCCCCAGCATCTGATTAATATCTAATGATCCCTGACAGGATTATTATTAACCAGAATGTAGAGATAATTCCTAGCGCAGCTCTAACCTTTGAGATCAGGAGCATGGTAGGAAAATATATTCATCTTTAAAACATTCTTTAATGCCACCACTAGTACAAAACAGAACGTGTGGCCGCTGGAGGGCCTAACATGAAATTGATTCCGCACCTGCATGCTTGTCAACAAACACACACCTCCTCACAATCCCAAACACCTTGCCCAAGTGACCGGCAGTGGGTAGAAGAGTAGCTGCTTGTATTGCATCTGAATTCTTAGGGATTAAGCAAGTATAGCTGACTCTTTTTTTTTTTTTAGGTATGTGGTTGGCAAATATTTTCTTCTATAAGTTTTCTTTTCACCTTTTTTGGTATATATTTTATTTATTTATTTATTTATTTTAATGTTTCTCNGAGTAGCTGCTTGTATTGCATCTGAATTCTTAGGGATTAAGCAAGTATAGCTGACTCTTTTTTTTTTTTTAGGTATGTGGTTGGCAAATATTTTCTTCTATAAGTTTTCTTTTCACCTTTTTTGGTATATATTTTATTTATTTATTTATTTATTTTAATGTTTCTTTATCTTTATTGTTGAGATGTCCCCTTTTTATCACCACTGATCCCCTCCAACCCATATCCATCCCATCCCCAGGCCTGACTCTTAATTATACTAAAGTTTTAGAGTTGTATTGCAACATTTATTATATGTGAGCACTTAATAAAATAAACTAATTTAAAAGGCCTAAAGGACTCAAAAAGCAGATTACACATACACCTACAATAGCAGTAACTTCAAATTGATATTAATTCAATAATTCAATAAGTTATTAAAGTTGGAGAAAACTTTTTTTTCAGGGCAAAACTGACACTAGATTTTATCTTATTTATTTTTTTAATTCTGAGGTTTGATTTAATTTTTTCCCTTTTTATTGACTTTATTGGGTGACACTGGCTAACAAAATCATACAGGTTTCAGTGTACCATTCTATGAGTCATTATCTGTACACTGTATTGGAGAATACTTAATGATAATCAATGATTTAAATGAGAAAATACTTAGTAACAAAAGTCACTACCAGTAAAGTTCTTGTAAAATGGAACATCAAAACAATGTATATGAAAAAGTTCTAACATTTAAAATAAACACGGCCTGAGTTCTCCAATATTAAGGAAGCATAATCAGCTAAAATGGAACACATCACTAAAAACAAACATCTCTTCCCTTTGTAAAGATGTCCTTAATTGAGGGCACTTGAAAATGAAGTGCAATGGTGAAGCCAATTATACTACTTGGAATTCTCTTATAACTGGAATGTTCAGAGGTCTAATGTATTGATAAATGTCTTGAATTAAAGGTAATTTCATTTATTTATATCATAAATTTAAAAGTTAGATAAGGCTGATGTTTATTTGGGCTCAACAAACTTTCTTTTTCTCATAAAGAGTGGGATGAAAATCTCACCCAAGAGTACAAAACATTTAAGAAAATCAACTCAAGGACTTAACCTTTTTTAAAAAGTATCATTTTCACCCACCTCTTAGAACTCATTAAAATCACTCGTTTCTGCATTATGGGGATATTGAGCTTTTTTACTTGTCACTAGTTTATTAACCTAGCTTAAGTAATTACGAACATGCTCTTGGGACAAATTAAACTATTTATTTTTTAAATCAACCCACATTGCTTTTCCAATTATAAAGTATTTTCAAATTATTATGTTTTAATTTGGAACATAATGTAGAGAAAATACTTAAAATCAAAACAAGAATTACTACCCTACACATATAAATGGTTTTCCACAGTGAAGAAATTTATATACTTGAAGCTAAAAATTTTTTCTAATTATTGTCCAAATCTGTATTCAAGGTTGGCTTATACTCCTAACAAAGCTTTAAAAGCAGACAAATGCCAATATGAACAGCATGTAGCTATAGACCAGCGATGCCAAAATGGCACCAGTGGAATGTCACCTAGAGATACAGGGAAAAGGAGACATTAAGTCCCCACTTCTCTGGTTTTATGACTGTTAGGGTTACACACGATTCCAAGAGCGCCCCTTTTCTAAAACAGCCAATCCAACTCATGCCATTGGCTGCAACAGCCACAAATCCAGCTAGGAATTCTGTAGGAATCATGCTACAATGATAGACAGTTAACAAGCACCATAAGACAGGCTAAAAAGTTTCAGTTAGGAATTGTCCTCTTGTTCTCTCCTACCCCACGAACCAAACACAGCGCTGTCCACTTTGGAAACAGTCTCAATCATGCAGAAATACTACCAAGTTGTTGAAAGTTTGCTTTCTTCCTTTCTGTGCAACATGGAAATTAGAAGTCACTGGTAAATTTAAATGCTGTCAGCTTATACTTGGTCTCAAAGATTGACTCTGTTATAATGGAAAGGGACTGGGGCGACTACTGAAACAAAATTCACCGAAGAACTGGGACTGGAGGTAGGAAGGGCAGAGAAAGGGAAGCAAGGAGGACAGGTGGAAACATGCAGTACACGTGCTCTCAATGGAACTGGTCTGACCTCTTCTTACTGAGACAGTCTAATTGCATTAGTGTCATTTTTCAGTTTCTCTTCCTTTCCTAAATTTATTGTCCTGGGTCAGGAGAGACAGGGAGAAGAGATAGAGGGGAAGTATAATGATGACCCAGTCGCTATTATGGGGTTAGGCTATGACGGCTCACCTGTGGCAAAGAGAAAAGGAAGAAAGACTGAAGACACAATGGCTCAGGGACCAGCTATAG